CAACAGGTGTTTGTCCTGTTTGAATGAACAGATGTTTTTTGTACAAAGAATCACAGTCATCAAGATTGGAATTCCTGGAACAACATAAAGTCAAAATTTTTCTGAATTTCAACATTATTTAATTATAAAAGTATAAAATGCTGATTATTGGTCAGTGATCAGTTGATAAATTGATATTAAATTAATTGATAAAATGAAATATTCCAGAAGGTTAACAGATTATGTCATACAATTCTGTGGAGTCAGGAATGTCTCCTCCAGTGAGAACTACTTCCTGTTTGAGTCCTTTTACTTGACAGTCAGAAATTAACTCAAGCCTTTAATATCACCTGTGAGTCACAAAGAATGAGTGAATACGTACATTGATACAGAAGAGTCTATGAAATGAAGTGTAGACTCCTTAAAGACTATTGAAAAGAAAATGACATCCAGCTTAGTGGCAGGTGAAAAGTCAGTGTGTGGGCTGCCTATATGTACAGTCAGGATTAGACTACTTTGTCATAATGGCTCCTTAAAATTTTTGAAGATCAGTGGAGTTTAAGTTACATCAATAAGGTCAGAGATAGGTTCCCGCTGTATGCGGAACTTGGTTCAGATGAGGTGGGGCACGTCAGGGCGGGGCAGCTCCCAGCTGCTGTAGTGACTTCAGACCACATCATACCGTCATAGAAACTTCAGACTCTTCATTTTAAGGTAAATAATAAAAATAAAAGTATTTTAGAAAACAAATGAAGCCGAGACTGGAGATTGTATCCTGGTGACTGAATGAACTGGGCAGTAAGACAGTACACTAAGAATTGGACTTCGCGTATGGTTGCAAGGCTACTTGGACAGGAGGACTGTAATAAAGAACTTCCTAGCATGCTTGCACGGAAACTCAGAGTTCCAGGCACTGCATTTCCAGGAGTTCCGACAAGGCCTAGATGAGCTCTGTCAAGAGCATTGTGAATTGAAGTGCAAACAAGATTTTCAAATTTTTTTCAGATCCTAGGTCCTATGAGCTTATGAAAGAAAAAAAAACTGGATGAAAAGTATTCTCTCATTCCTGCTAACATCCACTAATAAATTTATTACATGCTTGTGCTTGTATTGCTGAGTTAGTAATTTAAAAGAAGAGAAGACATGGTTGCTTTGCTCTAATTACGGGAAAATAATAATGATGCTTTTCACTTACGCAGCACTTTTCACCCAAGGATTTCAAAGTGCTTTACAAATGTGCACTAACTAAGCCTCACTGACAGCCCGAGGTAGGTGCCTCTCTTCCCTTTGTCCAGTAATGCAACTGTGGCACGGAACGCTGAGTGTGCCAAGGACTCCTGCTGGCTGCCGTTTCCTTGGACTGTGCTGCATGTAAAGCGTCACGTGTCATTTCAGATTTCCTTTTCCCTGAGTCATCGCAAGTTGAGAATCTTAGTGAATGCTGCTTGAGGACTTGATTCAGGGCCTGTAAATATTAACAGAATTCAATTTTCTGCTTTATCTGTGTCAATTAAATCTGTAGATTTATAAAAACAAATTCTAAATGGTTTAATATTATATTACTGTTGAATTATAACTATAGTTTTCTACTTTAAAGGATTTTCTATTTTATTCTCAAGATACCACTAAGTTCTTTGTTCTTGGGCATAAAACTTGAGAAGATTGATGTGTTGACATTACCATCCTTTGTTATCTTTTTACCAGAGAGAGCCTTTTTCATTGAACTAGAACTATCTATTATCAAGAAAATATGCTGGGTTTGGATGATTAAAACACGTATTTTATCTGAACACTAAAGATAAAAGTTCAGTATCACTAAAGAGCCATGTGAAGAAACACTAGTATAGTGGCTGCATATGCTAATGTGGAAGGATTTATGGGTTTATTTACACAGGTGCACAGAAGCAGAAAGAGAATTCGTGTATATAGAGACATACTGAGCAGGATATGGTTAAATATTAGTATGTATAGACATGTGTTACAAACTCTTATCTAAAGTGGTGGTTACACAAAGCTAGAGCAGATGTCACACATCATGGCTTAGTTTCTTTGGGTTCCTAGGTCCCTGGTAAGGACAAACGTATCCATGGTAGTATAATGGCAGGTTAAGTCTTCCTGAGTCAGAAAGGCACAAGTTTTGCTACACCATTGCCCTTTTGTATTTGTGGCTTCTGTTGGTTCTAAAAGAACTCACCTCTAATATCTGTCTACTTCCATTTAAAGTGATACTTATCATTAGACTCTCCTACTTTTGAGCCAGACTTCACATTAATAATGCTGAATCTTTGTATCAATAAAGAAAGTAAAATTAATGTCCACGTGATCCAAAAGAATATTTGTCTCCCAAGTTCTAACATCATGGAAAGCCCTGTCCTCTACTGCTTTAGAACAACCCAAATAAAAGATTAAAGAAGAAAACTGTAGCATCACAACTAATTTAAAAGATGGCCATAACTATAAAAGGATCTACAGTATCACAGTATTCTTCAAGCTGGGTATTTAAATATCCTTTAAATGCTTAATCTATAGTATATGAAGGGTAAATCAAAAAGAGCCAGTTTTAAGAGTTAGGTTCAAGTTTCCTTCCTGGGCAATACATGCATGCATGCATGCATCCATCCACACATACATACATATCAAAAAGCTCAAGTGCTGCCCTACACATTGCAGCTATAAGTGGCGTAAGCAGGGAGCTATACCTAAGGGTGGATCTTACCCTCACTTACCTGGGCATATAGACTCTTGTAGTGTAATTGGTGTATTTAGAAAAGGGGCAAATGGGGATTTGTCATTTATACTGAAAAGTGCAATATATAGGCATGTCTAAATATATTTATTCAGTCAACAAGCCACATAGGAAAACAGTGGTGAGGGGTTTGCCTTTCTATCCATGATAGAAATAGAGAAAAGGAATCATTCACCTTGAATGTAGAACAGTCTCAGTCTCTGAGACTCTGCTAAGTCCTTTCCTCACTGAGGACCATTGGACTGCAAAGGTCAGATGCTGGTCCAGGTCCTGATCCAGGCCAGTGACAGCAAAGGAACTTGCTGTGAGTAGCTTCTCTACCCATATTGCATTGAGAAACTTCCTTTTCTGTGCTAGCATGCCAAACTCCCTGCCAATCATCATCTTTTATGTAGACTTTCCCAAAAGCCCTCTGATGATACTGTCAATTTCGAAGGTGCTTTCTGTTTGCTCAGTGATCTATTACAAACCTGATTTCCAAAGGTTTGAGACTAAGAAATGACAACAAAATTAACCTGAACTGATAAGTTCAAGCTTTAAGTTCAGCTTTAAGCCTTTTAAGAGGAGTTCAGGAGTGTCTGAAGTAGCAAGTACACAGGTGGGGAAGGAGTAAGTTGAAATCGATAAGCCATCATCACTCCTTACATGTCAGTTAGCTAAACGCATGATATGCTCAGTCTTAGTGCTTAGGAGTCTCATCAGCCAGCTGTTTCTCTAATTTTGAATAGCTGTACCTTATGAATATATAGAAATTTGTTGAAGCCACTAATTTCTGAAACATCGTTTTTTATTAATGAAATTTATTGACAATTTCATGCATGTATATAATATATTCTCATTACTCTCAACCCCCACCCTCTCTGAAGCTGCCTCTACAATAATATTTTTCCTTCACCTCAAAGTTTAAGCTTATCCGTGAAACAAAGTACAAAGGGGTATTTATATTTTTACCATTTCAAAAGAAAATATAGACTTAAAATTTGAAACTAGCATTGATAAAATATTGATCCATGAAAGAGTTGTGGGTTGTTTGTTTTGTTTTGTTTGTTTGTTTGTTTGTTTCCCCAGGATCACTCAGTATAAACTTTAACCTGAAAGGTAGTATTAGTTCTGTTTCCCTAAGAGGTAGATTCGCTTGAAGTATGTGTCTTCCATGAAACTGTTAGCGTCTTGCATATTTACATTTACTCTTTAGATATGGTCTGATACATAAACAAACACTTGAATGCACATACTATTAGCATTTTTATACTAGTGTATTTCAGCATAATCTTACCTTGTGAGAGGAAGTTAATTTAAATGTGAATATATTTTTGATCAGATTGACATTTTGTTAGTGAAATTATCTTTTTGGGTAATAGAATCTCAGTCTTGTCATTTAAATGTGCTTTTTATTTTCAAAGCTTAATTTCTGCATTATAAATTATTTCCTTCTGTTTTAAATCGAGCTCACTAGCATTCGCTGCATGAGCTGTGCATGAGCATGTTGAAGCTGTCATATTTGCCTGGCAAATTAACATTTTGTCTTTTTCTTCAGTGTTGAATAATCTTTGCTAAGATGCTTTGTAGAACAGATTTTCTTTTAATAGCTTATTCATAGACAAAAGAATATTGTAAATTCAGATCAGTCTGTATCTGTCCTACCGGCTATCTGTGTAACTCTTGGGCTTCTGTTTGCATAGAATAAACCAGAGTTTAAAATCATCCTGATTTTACTAAAGAGGAAAAGATACACAATTTGGCATACACAAACTCTGGCTGGTTTGTAGGCTGTGTGGAATTCTCCCTTGTTCTTTCAGGCTCATATGACTTGGATGTGTTGGGAATTTGCTGCTAATACTCAGACTGCATATTGTGTTAATAAGGGGTTAGTCTCTACCTCCACAAGACAAAGAGACCTTGTAGCCATCAGCAAACTCTTGCTACTGTTACCGTTTCCCAGTGGAGTAGTGATGATCATTGCTGGAATGGGAATTTTTCATACTCTTTCATAAGAGCCACATGTGTGAATAATTTGTTGAATCAAACTGTTTCAGTTGAGTCTTCCACTTTATTTAGAAATAGACCCTCCTAACAGGTTTCTGATTTTGGACATAGATTGTCAGAAGTAGGTATTTTATTAAGTACATTTTAATGAGAATACAAAATGTTAATATCTCTGAAAATCATGGTCAGGGAATCTTGAAAGTGTGACATTCTGGGGCCCTGACAATGACCCATCTGTGGGTGTGTGGTTAAAAACAGAGCAGCTTATCACTTGCCTTTCTCTTTCCAGCCTTGGAATGGATGGCTTTGGCCAGCCAGTGGGAATCCTTGGACGTCCTGCTACCGCATATGGATTCCGCCCTGACGAACCTTACTACTACAGCTTTGGGTCTCGATAAAGTCAGCCCTCCCATATGTGCGCTCAGCTTATGAGACATCTGTATACTGTGGGTTAACTTTGAATCTTGACTTAATAATGCATGTTGTACTCCTGTGGGGCTGTGTTGCTTTTTTCTCCACGTTGTTATCTTCAGGTTAGCTCTAACTCTCATGTCTTCTGTTAAATGCAATTGATGCTCCAGTGGCCACTCGTCCAGCCATATCTTGAGGTGAATAATGTTTACCATGAGATTGTTGCAGAACTACTAGCCTGGAAAAATACACACTACATTATGTACATTAAGTGACTAATTTCTGTTAAAAAGTGGCATACATGCAAAGAAATGAGCCAAAGGCATGTTTTCATATTTACTATGTTTCATAGGAACCACTCATGTACATGGGATACACATACTTTTTTTTTTTTTGCTTTATCTTTCTACCTATAAACTCCTTAATGTTTCATGTGAGTTGTGCTACCTTTAAATTTTAAATGAACCTCAGCTTTTATTCCATGCTATGTCTGGAAGTTTCTTTCACAAAGTTACTAACTATCTGAGTTTTTTAACTGAGAGAGAGCATATGCTGTAAGTGATGCTATCCATTAGTATCCTCTACTGTGAGTCAGCTTCATGCCCTGGTAACTGTAGCAGAATCCCGGGACAACCTCCGGACGGAGTAGGCACAACACTGGGCTTCTAAGCCTCGCTTTCCTGAAATGTACAATATCAACTGTGAACAAGCTAATTATTTTTTGCCTTACCTAAGAAAATTAAGGAAAGAACTCTTTCTCTCTTTGTTCACTTAAGATAGAAGTGGGTAGTGGGAACTGGAGAGTGGCACAGTGATTAATAATGAGTTTTGAAAATAATTCATTGATTTTAAAATATTAAAAATTTTACTTGAGAAACCAAGCAAGTGAAATAAATATAAGCATAGATTGTGTTTTTGATCACTTCCTGCTGAAGGAAACACAAGGCTTCAGAACAACACAGATAAAAGGTAAGCTTCTGCCTTTAAGTTAGAATCCATGACCCAACTATACTATTTCCATAATCCACATGCCTAGCACAAAGCGCTAGAGCTCAGAAGGCTCTAGGGACACTTCAGTCCATCTGCTCAAGAAACCAAACACTTAAAATTGTAAATATAACCAACATATATGTTCTTACCTGATACATATAAGGTAGTGTATGATCTGGGAAGTTGTTTATGTTTGTGAATTCACAACCTAATTGATCGTTCTGAAAGCATGCAATTATTGTCTTTGTTTCCCTTTACCCACAAACTATTAAAGTCAGAAAGGTTTGAATCAGTACTGTCCAACTCTCATTTTTACAATTAAAAAAAAAATCTGAGGTGAGAGCCAGTGAGATACCTAGGTAAGTAAAGTCACTTGCTGTCAAGGCTGAAGATCTGGGTTCAAGTACCAGAACCCACATGATTAAAGGAGAGAGCCAAATCCTGGAAGTCTGCCCTCTGACCTTCACCTATAGGCTATGGTAAATATGCATCAAACAAAAGCACAAATAAATGTAAAATATATATTTCTTTTTAAAATTGAGATGAGATACAAAATTACTTCCCCGCATTTCTATATTTAGTAAATTATATCACCTCTTTTTGTTTTCAATACAGCACTCCTTGTACAAATGCTTTCCTATTGTCTATCATGTACACTGAGTCTAAGTATATCTAGGTGACATTAATAGAAAAATAGTGATGTTTACACACTGACTTAGAAGAAAATTTCTGATAATTCATAACGTTTCTAAATATCTTATATATTTATATTGTTTTAGGACTTCACAGACTTAGAATTTGTAATCTTTCTACTCAGGCATGGGCAGTTTAGCATCCCTTGGTTATGAAAGTTTGCCCATGAGATTAATAATGAAGAATATCTAAATTCTTGTGTATGTCAGAGCACAAAAAGGGTCAGCACTCAGCATTTCTAGAAATGCCATTCATAATGTAAGTCATATCTTGTCCTCACTAGATTTTGATTACAAGTTACAGTCATACTTAATTTAATGACATATACTAGAAATTTTCTTAGGGTATAAAAAATAAAATTTCCACAAGCATCTTTTAAAAAGGAACTGGAGCTATAGCTGAGTGGCTCAGCATTCTCTTAGCATGTATGCAATCTGGGTTGTATCTGTAACACCTCAAATAAAATTATTAAATTTTAAATTAGCCTGGAAAAAAAACATAAAATACTTCAAAGAACAAACTGCCTTCAGTCTTAATAAGTGGCTAACAAGAACAGGGTCTGAACTATAGACTTGCTTGTTTTTCTTGTGGGATGGATGAATTCAGAACTCAAAAATAATTCTGGCGCAGTTGAAGGCCTCTCTGATGATGACTGGATAAGGCATTGATTTGTTCTGTCTGGTCCCATTCACTTTCCATAACAAAAGTATCACTCTTCAAATAATTAAAAGTTAGCCAGAGGCTAAGAGGACCCTAGACCTGAAATCCTGTGATCATGATGTGGAGTTCTGTTACTGTTGTCATCATCATCATCATCATCATCATTAATCACTATTATACTGAAATAAGAATTCACACTGTAGTCTGGGATAACCTGGAATTTACTAAGTAACAAGGGAGTTTCTCACACAAAGATCCTCTAGCCTCAACTTCTCGAGTGCTGTGATTGTAGGTGTGAGCCAGTAATCCTGGCTTCAGTGGATTCTTAAACCAGTTTTGTTCCTGGGGGAGGGTAGAAAGTGGAGATTGTATAATGTTCCAAACCAGCTGCTTGTTTAAAACATGTCAGTTTCCTAGGGCTGCAGTAAATGTTCACTAAACAACTGGGTGGTGTCAGACATTAGAAGTAGGTTTCGTAGAAGCCACACCTGTGGAAACTAACAGTCCAGAATCTTAGTACCAGCAGTGCCATGTTTTCTGTGGCATTTGTAAGGTTTCTAGCTTCTTGTGTTTGCTGACAGTCACTGGCACCCTGTCTCATAGATGGAGCACTCCTACGCCATGGCTGGCTTCTGCTCCTCTGTCTTTATGCCTTTTCTCCCTGCATGTTTCTGTAGCCAGTTGCCTCATCAGGACAGCAGTCATTGCATTAGGCCCACTCTAATAACCTCATTAACTTGATTACCTTTGTAAAGACTCTATTTCCAAATAAGATCACCTTTGGAGGTACTCCTGTTTAAGACTACAACATATATTTGGGAGACATAGTTCAACCTACAACAACATGTATATGTGTAGTATGGAGATAAACTTACCCATTATTCCAAGGACTCTAAGATACTAGTGGAAAAGCACAAATTGTTTTTCTGGTTTTCCAAGAGACATAGAACAAAAGGACAAAGTTGGGTGGATGGGGAAGAAAGGTGGATCTTTTGCGGGGAGGGGTGGTCAACATGATCAAAATACACTGTGTGAGATTCTCAAAGAACTAAAAAATTCTGAAGACATATACAGAGGACAAAATAAAGAGAATTTTCTCATCAGAAACTATGAAAAAGAATAAACTGTCAACCAAGAATTTTATACCTCGTGTCATGTTTTTTCCGTGTTTCTGTTTGACTGGGCTAAGAAATGCACATCTATCTGATAAAATACTATTTCTTCTGGGTGAGCATAGGTGTGTTTCTGGAAGACTAGCACTTGAATCAGTAGGTGGAATAGAGACGGTGCACCCTCGCCAGCATGGGCCCATCTTCCAGTGATAGCTCACGAACAAGCAAAAGCAACATGAATTCTTTCTTCTATAGCTAGGGCCCCGTTGCTTTCCATTCCTGAGCATCTGAACACTGGGAGTTATAACAGTGGCTTCCCTTCCCCACACTTTCCCAAGTCATGGGCCTTTCAGCTCAAACTAAGTGTTACTCTGTAGATCACCATGCTTCTTAGAACTTTGAACTCAGACTGAATTCCATCACCAGCTTTCCTGGTTATGTAGCTTGCAAGTAGAATATCCTGGCACTTCCATAATCTACCTAGTCTCATAAGCAGATTCCCAAGTTTCCTTGGAAATTATGTTGGGTTTCTCCCGAGATCCCTTTCAAACAGAGCCAGAAAAAAAAAAAAAAAAAAACTTTGAAAGATGAAAATTAGAAAAAAAAAATCCTTCTCTAACATAGTGAAACTGAACAGACATATCAGCTACCAATGCAGCATGTGCAACACTGGTAGGTGTGGCACAAGCTCACCTAAACAATGCTTGAACAGAAGGATTCTGTCATGGACATGACTCCCACCATTCTGGCTTTCCTTTCCGTAGTTTTTTGGTTCAGTTAGAGCACCCGTCTTATCCCACATCACTGACATCTTCCTGTGTATCAGTGCTTTGATGACTCTTTCCAAACTAGTTGAGCGTTAATTTTTTTCACCACTTTGTTTCCATTTGCTTGATCGTCATATAGTCATTGAATTTGCTACCACCCACTAGTCCCTTGGTTTCTTGTACCGTCTTCAGTGAAATCCAGAGCCAAGCACATTGTGTCAGTGAACTTGTTCCTTCTCTGAATGATTATGGCTATAAGGCAGAATGTACTATTTAACCTCATTTTCAGGTAATGGTGTCATTGCTACCCTTGACCCACAGGAGTCCTTTGTGTTCCCACTGAAAATTGCATCAAATTTGTTTTCTTTCAGCAGAGGTTTCCCTTTGATCTGAGTTGACATAACCATCTCTTGGATTCCTAGGAAAGCGGTGTTTGTTTTGCTTTGTCATTGTGAGTCAAACAGCATGGCTCTTTCCTTAAAACACAACTGTTGTTTTCATTGCATCAGTACCTGGGCCACTCTCTAGACTGTTCAAGTTTTAACCTGTCCACGTACATCAGGGACCTCGTTGCCATGATGAGAGGCACCACACCTCCAAGGCTTTCCAAATTAGAGAGGGCCAGCAGATAGAAAAGAGTGGTTTTCCATAGACATAAACTTGTCTGTGACCCCAGGAATTTCTTACATCAAAATCCCACAGCTAGCTATTGTATGTCTCCTTACCCAATAGGGATCACCGCAATTGTAAGATGCAAACTCCATTGAGACATGGCTAACAACATTCTGTGGTAATGGAGTCAGCTATTTTCAGTCGATCTTGTATCAGTCCAACTGGTATCAAAACCCGCAGGTTATTATACGATCAGCTCCTACACAGCTTGGAAACTGGTGAAGTCTACAAAGAGCTGCTTTTTCCTTGTTTTTAAGTTGCTATAGGCCAACTTGGTGAGCAGTTGGAAATGGAATAGGAAACCATTCCCTTCCAGAAAATCAAAGAGGACTTTGATTAGGGAACAAAGCTCAATGTTGAGTAAAGAGAACTAGTTACATGTGTTTGTATCCCTAGTAAACAGGAGTGCCCTTTGTGGGTATCTGGTCTAGTGTTTTCACTAGTGTGTGTTAAATTCTGGTGAGGAGTGAGGGCAGATGGTTTCTTGAAGCTGCTGGGTGCTTGGATGCTGAGGAACCACACTAAAAGAGACCCTGCCAAAGCAGCCTCACTCCTGCCAGGATATGATTTTGATGACAGGAAGGTACACTAACAATCAGAGTCTGGGGCCTTAATAGCACCAGACTTTCCGAAAAAGAGGCAAGTTTTCCTTAAAGTGCCAACACTGTAGTTAAGACAGAAGGAGGTGTGTAACTGACTGTTCTCATAGTTCATCTGTTTTGCAGACTGTATGAAGCACCTCATTTCTTCCTATAGTGGAGTAATATATATCATGTTATATATGTATCATATTCTTCTCATAAGTCTATCCACATTTTAGGTAGCCATAAAAGTTCTCAAAATTAGGATAGCACGCAGAGAATTTCAGCCTTCAGGCCTCAAGCCAGCCTGGTTCCAAATGTTCTTCTCTACCCAGAGAAGTGAGTGACACTGTACATTTGCCACCAGAGGGCGCAGGGGAGCCTCCAGTGAGCCCAGCTCCCTTCTGAAACTTAACTAAATTTACTCCACAATGGTGGTTTGCTCTTCCATGTCAGTGGCTCCTTCTGAAAACTACACTGGTACAATCATATTATCATGTAATTCCTAATTACTTTCGACCTAAATAAAAAGCAGTAGAATGTTTATCTGGAAATAGCACAGCATTGTAAGAGGAATAATGGAGCAAGGAAATGTTTTCACAACCACAAGGAGGATCATCATATGTACTTAGGAACAGTAATCCTTGGCCACAATGATAAGGCATGTATTCCAAGATTGCAGGGCCCATTGCTGGGCAGATGTCCTTGTAGACACATTTTTATATAGGATTGCAGTGACCTCTAGGAAAGCTTGTAGTAGAAGAATCTTTTTGGTAGTCTTTATCAAGCATTCAATTTAAGAACCCTTCC